GTTTTCATTGGAGATAAGAGTCTCACAGCCTTTCCTGCCCGAGTTGGCTTTGAACCATGATCCTCAGCTCTCAGCCTCCTGAGTAGCTAGGATTACAGGTGTGAGCCACCAGCGCCTGGCTTCTATTTTCTTATATTTCCAGGCATGACAGATGCACACCACCATGCCCAGCCATTGTGCTATTCATCTAGCTGGGATAACAGGTGTGTACCACCACACCCAGACACTGGTTGAGAAGGAGTTTCCAGAGTGTCTTTTTGTCTGGGCTGGTCTCAAACTGTGATCCCCAATTTCTTTCTCCCCAGCAGCTAGGATTATAGGTTTGAGACATCATGTCAGATAAAAGTAGACTTTTGTTTGTTTGTTTTGTTTTGCCAGTCCTGGAGCTTGAACTCAGGGCCTGGGCACTGTCCTTGAACCTCTCTGTGCTCAAGGCTAGCACTCTATGACTTGAGCCACAGCACCACTTCTGGCTTTTTCTGTTTATGTGGTACTGAGGAATCAAACCCAGGGCTTCATGTATGCGAGGCAAGCACTCTACCACTAAGCTACATTCCCAGCCCCAAAGTAGAAGTTTTCATAGGCAACACATGACTCATGAACCATCTCTCCTGTGATAACTGCTTTGCTAGTCTTTATCCTGGAATAAGGAAGACACAAAGCAGAGCACCCAACCAACCCTTAATGGATATGTAACAATAATGAAAAAGAAAATCTTGTTATTCAAGCTGCTGAGATTTGGGGATTGCTTGTTACAGAAGAGTCTGTTGCTTTGACAGCTTCCCCACACCACTATATTTCTCCCTTTCTTGAACTTGTGTGACATATTTTCTCAGGTTTTCCACCATTTTCTACCACTTCTCTTGTTCTGATGATATACTGTTTCATATTGCTCAATTCCAGTTCAGTGGTATGTCTTAGTCACCTCTGCAATTCTACTAAGGCTTCCTGACAGCAGGAATGGCACTTTCCTGCTTTTATAGTACATATAACATGCTTCTTGGCTAAGGCAGTATATTATGGGTGTAAGAGTCAAGATAGACATGATTTTTTTTTTTTTTTTTTGTCGGTCATGGGGCTTGAACTCTGGGCCTGGGCGCTGTCCCTCAGCTCTTCAGCTCAAGGCGAGCGCTCTACCATTTGAGCTACAGGGCCACTTCCGGTTTTCTAGTGGTTTATTGGAGATGGGAGTCTCACGGTCTTTTCTGCCCGGGCTGGCTTTGAACTGCGATTCTCAAATCTCAGCCTCCTGAGTAGCTAGGATTACAGGCGTGAGCCACCGGCGCCCGGCTAGACATGATTTTAACCCCAGTTTTTGACACTTATTGGGCAATCTCTTTCAACTTCAATTTCTTCATCTGTCAAACAAGAAAAGCAGCATAAGCTAGGCACCAGTGGCTCACACCTGTAATCCTAGCTATTCAGGAGACTGAGATCTGAGGATTGAGGTTCAAAGCCAACCTGGGTAGGAAAGTCCATGAGACTCTTATTTCCAATAAAACCACCAGAAAACTGGAAGTGGCACTGTGGCTCAAGTGGTAGAGTGCTAGCCTTAAGCTGAAGAGCTAAGAGGGACAGCACCCAGGCCGCAAGTTCAAGCCCCATGACCAACCCCCCTCCTCCCCAAAAAAGAAAATAAAAGCAACATATATTCTATATACTATATAGAGTTTTTCTAAAACTTCTGGAGAGGAGATGGAATGTGTGTAAAAATTTGTAATTTGTACTTTGTAATTGCTGTTTTTCTCATTATTAAAAAAAACTATCACTATAGATTCTATTCAGCAAACGTGTATGGAAAAAGTAGTCTTTCATTGACTGAGGTATAGAAATCAGTCTTCCATTGATTGAAGAACCAAGAAATTCTTGATTCAAAGCCCTACTTTAAAAAGTAAACCTTATTTCACAGAAATTTTGCACTGGGCTTTGAACCTGGGTCCTTAGGCGTGCTGGGCTTATGCTCTACCACTGTTTAAATAAAGTTATTTATTTATTTTCCAGTACTGAGTCTTGAAGTCAGGGCCTGGACACTGTCCCTGAGCTTTTTTGCTCAAGGCTAGTGCTCTGCTGCTTGAGCTACAACCCTACTTCTGGCTTTTTGGTCTCATGGATCAAAGAGTCTCATGGACTTTCCTGACTTGGCTGGCCGCAACCATCAGATCTCAGCTTCCTGAATAGCTAGGATTACAAGCATGAGCCTCCAGTAGCTGGCTAATTTTATTATAATTTCATAAAATTTGAATAATGCTTGAAGAAATGCTTTGTATGTATTCAAGAATCACATATTCGGGCTGGGAAGGTGGCTCAGTGGTAGAGTGCTTGCCTTGCATACATGAGGCCCTGGGTTCGATTCCTCAGCACCACATAAGCAGAAAAAAAAGGCCGGAAGTGGCACTGTGACTCAAGTGGTAGAGCACTTGAGCTGAAGAGCTGAAGGACAGTGCCCAGGCCGCCCAGAGTTCAGGCCCCAGGACTGGACCCAAAAAAAAAAAAAAAGAATCACATATTCTAGCTAGGCAATGGCAGCTCATGATTGAATCCTAGCTACTTAAGAAGCTGAGGATGATAGTTCAAAGCCAGCCTGGACAGGCAAGTACATGAGACTATTATCTTCTAATTAATCACTAAAAAGCCAAACGTGGATCTGTGGCTCAAGTAGTAGAGCACTAGAGTTGAGCTAAAAGGCTAAAAGACAGCACCAAAGTTCTGAGTTCAAGCCCCAGAATTGGAACAGAAGAAGAAAGAGGAAAAGGAGAAAGAAGCAGCAGCAGCAGCAGCAGCAACAGCATCAAAAGCAGCAATAGCAACAGCAACATCATAGATTCTAAAACTGTCATAATGCAGAGATTGGACGGTCCTTCACATGAAGACAGTGTGGACATTGTGAATCTCAGTGTTCTCCAATAATGTTAAGCTTCTTTGGCCTTATCTTTGCTTGATTACATCTTTGCCTTTCCAGTGAGGTTATGAACTGCTTGAGATCATGATTATTTTAGGAGACTGAGAATGTTTATTTTTCTTTATGTAAGAATAATACATGCTCATTGAAAAGAAAGTAAAAATACATGAAGAAACGCTCGAATTCCAGTAATTTTTGTCCTTTCAGATATTGCTCATCTCTTCTTCAGTGATTTTCTTCTTAGATATATGTTTTCAATACTGGTATTATATTACACATATAAGCAGTGTCACATGTCATAAATATTCCTGTTTATATTAACATATACAAAATTCTTAATTGTAACCATTCTCTTATTATTGAATATATACATTGATGATATTCTTTCACTGTCTAAATCAAGCTGTGAAACACTTTTGTTCATAAGTATTTTTCTGGTTCTTTTTTTGTACTGTGCTAGGATGTGTGAACTCATGGCTTCACACTTTCTGCCAGCTGTTTTCATTTGCAGCTTGAGCAATACCTCCAGTACAGTGCTTTTGCTGGTCAATTGGAGGTTAGAGTCTTACATACTCTTCTGTCTAGGCTGGCTTTGAACCTCAATCCTCAGATCTCAGCCTACCAAGTAGATAGGATTACGAGTGTGAGCCACATGCACCCAGCTGATTATTTTATAGGAAAAAAAATATTTAGGAGGAATATTTCTGAGCCCAGTGGTCCAAACATTTTTAATGCTCTTAAGACTTCCAAATTGATTTCCAGAACGATTAAATCAGAGTCCTTATCTACACTTGGATTAAAAAAGGTTTTTTATTTTATTATTATTTTTAATGTGCTATTGGAAGTTGATTTCAGCTAGACGCCTCCTCCTCCCTCCCTCTCTCCCTCCCTCCCTCCCCCCTCCTCCTCCTCCTCCTCCTCCTCCTTCTTCTTTCCTCATCAGTCATGGGGCTTGAACTCTGGGCCTGGGTGCTGTCCCTCAGCTCTTGAGCTCAAAGCTAGTGCTTACCACTTGAGCCACAGTACCACTTCCGTTTTCTGGTTTACTGAAGAATAGAGTCTCACAGACTTTCCTGCCTGGCTAGCTTTGAACCGTGATCCTCAGATCTCAGCCTTCTGAATAGCTAGGATTACAGGTCTAAGCTACCAGCACCTGGCTCCCTAGGCTTTTTTGCTCAAGGCTGGCACTCTACCACTTGTGCCACAGCTCCACTTCTGGCTTTTTTGGTCGTTCTGAGGAGATAAGAATTTCACAGTCGCCGGGCGCTGGTGGCTCATGCCTGTAATCCTAGCTACAGGAGGCTGAGATCTGAGGATCGCGGTTCAAAGCCAGCCCAGGCAGGAGAGACCGTGAGACTCCTATCTCCAATAAACCACCAGAAAACCGGAAGTGGCGCTGTAGCTCAAGTGGTAGAGCGCTTGCCTTGAGCTGAAGAGCTGAGGGACAGCGCCCAGGCTCAGAGTTCAAGCCCCATGACCGACCAAAAAAAAAAAAGAATTTCAGACTTTCTTGCCTAAGCTGGCTTTGAACCATGATACTCAGATCTCAGTTTCTGAGTAGCTAGGATTACAGGCGAGAGCCACCAGCACCCAGCCACATACTGTGCCTTTTGGGCCACTTCCTCAGCCTTTTCTTGCATGCCTGAGCTAGCTTGGATCATGGTCTATTTGGTTACACTTTACACAACACCTAGGTTGCTAAGCACATGCTACTGCATCCCACTGTTGACTGAGACAGGGGTCTTGCATTTTTGTCTGGGCTATCCTAGGATCTTAGCCTCCCAATCTCTATTTCTTGAGTAGCTAGGATTGCAGGTGTGTGCCACTGGTACCTGGTTAAGGCTAATGCTTTTTAGTATAATAATCTTTCATTGACAATTCTACTATGAATTAATTGTTCATGTCTCTTGCCCATTTTTCCATTGGGATTTTAATTTTCTTACTAGTTTCTATGAGATTTAAAAAACATTTTATTCTAATCATAGAACATTACAATATAAATAATAAATACACTGCAAATGTACCATGGATTATTACTTAATTATCATAGGGACTTTTTGAGAAGCAAACCAGAGGTTGACTCTTCTTTTTTGCTGCCCAGGACACAGCTGGGCAGGAGCGGTACCGGACTATCACCACAGCCTATTACCGTGGGGCTATGGGCTTCATCCTTATGTATGACATCACCAATGAGGAGTCCTTCAATGCTGTCCAGGACTGGTATGAAACATATTCATTCAATTGTTTGCTTATAAAACTTTGTGAAAACCTAACATGTCCTAGGTCCCCTGTTATGTGTTAGGGAACCCTAGATGAATCAGACATGGTTTCTGATATCAAGAAATTCTCAGATTAGAAGTCAGATCAGGAATCAGATGATGAAAATATCATGTGACAGGTATCATGTGAAATAAGATATTAAAATTATGAGAACATAGAGGAAAGCTCTGATCTAGTTTAGAGAGTCAAGGGAGGTAACTTGGGGCTGATGGCACATTTGCTGCACTTTGTACAGTGAACAGGAAATAGCTTGAGGGACAAATGGATAAAAATTTCCAGAAAAATATACAGATGTGCAAAAATATGAGAAGGTAGGTGGGTTATGGAGGGTTTTGTAATGATAGTATTTGAATTGGGAATCAACTAAATTTTGTTTTAGAAAGATTACTCTGGCTGTGGGAAAGTAAGTCCTATAGCACTTCTGTTTCCCTGGGCAGGGTTTAGGAACCAAGAACACATCCAGTGTAAGTTCATAGAGGTTTAATTGGCACTGGGAATCAGCATAGAACCTCAGTCAACCTCTTTTCTCCTTTTCTATCTTCCTTTTTAATAACTTTTCCCCTCTACTTCCTTCTTTCTCCTTTCTTTCCACTATTTCCCTCTTTGCTTTTATCTCCTAGTCCTGATTTTCTCCCCACTCTTTGTCCATCTTCTCTCACCATATCTCTCCTGGAGTGATTAGCTCTTTGTCTCCACACTGCTCATTCCCTGTTGGCTGTGACCCCTTTCCTTTTCTCCATTAGTGTCTGTTCATTCCTCTGAGGGAACACAGTGACTTTAACACCTGGTGATGATTTCTCCAAGAATAACCTGAGCTTGTTGCTAATTTGAAAACTGAGTGAAGATCGAGTAGGAGGGAGGAGGAAGCTGAAAGGAAGAAGGATGGAGAGATAGGAAGTGTTGGCTGTAGATACCTACCTTGAATCTGAAGATTGAATGTCCATCTCTCTCAAGCCCAAACTTTGAATTCTGCCTCTGTCATTTGGTCTTACCCTAACTGTCACCCACCATCCAAACTCAAGTGCCCAGAATAGGCCTGGCTCTTTATGAGCCCATAGCAAAAGATGATTGAATTAATTTCATCCGTTAAGAGAATGTCTTCTCAACTGAGGGTCACTGGCTCATGCCTGTAATCCTAGCTACTCAAAAGACTGAAATCTGGGGCTGGGAAGGTTGCTCAGTGGTAGAGTGCTTGCCTTGCATGCATGAGGCCCTGGTTTCAATTCCTCAGCATCTCATAAGCAGAAAAAAATCCAGATGTGGAGCTGTGGCTCAAGTGGTAGAGTGCCAGCCTTGAGCTGAAGAGCTCAGGGACAGTGCCCAGGCCGAGCTAACCCTAACCCTAACCCTAACCCTAACCCTAACCCTAACCCTAACCAACAAACAAAACAAAACAAAACACAAAGACTGAGTTCTGAGTAACACAATTCCAAACCAGCCTGGGCAGGAACTTATGAAACTCTTATCTCCAATTAACTACTAAAAAGCCAGAAATGGAGCTTGGTCCCAAAGGTTAGAATGCTAGCCTAGAGCATAAAAGCCCAGAGACAGCACTCAGGCCCTAAAAGTTCAAGTTCCAATACACGGGCATACACGCGCATGCACACACACACACACACACACACACACACACACACACACACACACGGAAGTTTGTGATGGAACCAGCTCTAGGAGCAAGGTCAGTAATAGGTACAAGTTGCAGGTAGGGTTCAGTTAGTTACAATGCTGATGTCAGGACCAGATTCAAGATCTGCTTCATATTAGCTATTTACTGATCCAATTGATTCATTCACTGATACCCTGTCTGCTCTGTGCTGATGCTGTCATACCAAAGATGAATAGGTCTGCATCTGCCCTCAAGGAGAGACAAATAAATATATTCAAGTATAAAAGGTGCCATGATGCAGGTGTAGGAGACCAAAAGGGAAAATAATTATTTTCACATGATAAAGTGGTTGGATTTAAGAGGCCTGTTCTCAACAAAAAGATGCCTATCATGTTAGGATCTTATTTTATTCCCTCTCTTAAAATCATGCTTCTCATTACAAAAGTAATACCTGCTCACTTGAAAACTTTGAAAAGTAAAAACATTTGGAAGCTATTAACTTTTTAAAAAATTATTATACAGGTGATGTACAGAGGGGTACAGCTACATAAGTCAGGTAAAGAGTACATTTCTTTTTGGACAGTATCATTCCTTTCCTCCTTGGGTCCGGTCATGGGGCCTGAACTCTTGGCCTGGGCGCTGTCCCTCAGCTCTTCAGCTCAAGGCTAGTGCTCTACCACTTGAGCCACAGCGCCAGTTCCAGCTTTTTTTCTTTTTGCTTATGTGATACTGAGGAATCAAACCCAGGGCCTCATGCGTGCAAGGCAAGCGCTCTACCACTGAGCCACCTTCCCAGCCCCTGGAAGGTGTTTTTTAAAGTTCCATAATAATCCTATATGAAGGAAGCCACTGCTATATTTTGGTTCTGGATGGAATCATGATCTGAAGACCTCAGTAGAGGTTTATGAATCACAGAGGAGGAAGTAGAGACCAGTAGGAGCTCAGGAATCCTGAGAAGGCTTCCACAAGGAATTGTGGAATCAGAACTAGGCCTTGGAGGATGGGCTAGTTGTGAGGCAGGGATTTCTAGTATAGGCAAAGGCACAGCCATGGAAGAACATCATGAGGGATGACTAAGAAGATGTATGGAACTGGGAGAAAGTAAAGGAAGGGATGACACTGACCAAACAAAAAAGAAAAGAAACATGCACTGGGCGCCAGTGGCTTACGCCTGTAATCCAAGCTACTCAGAAGGCCAGAACTGAGGATCGTGGTTCAAAGCCTGCCCGGGCAGGAAAGTCTGTGAGACTCTTATCTCCAATAAACCACTCAGAAAACCAAAAGTGGTGCTGTGGCTCAAGTGGTAGAGCACTAGCCTTGAGCTGAAGAACTGAGAGATAGCACCCAGGCTCAGAGTTCAAACCCCACTACCGACCAAAAAAAAAAAAAAGAAAAGAAACATGCTTATTACCAGACTTATGAAATGGTAGTCCCTCTGTACAACACCTTAATAATAACAATAAAATTATTTCTCAAAAAGAAAAAAGCTGGGCTGGGAAGGAGGCTCAATGGTAGAGTGCTTGCCTTGCATGCATGAGGCCCTGGGTTTGATTCTTCAGCACCATATAAGCAGAAAAATCCGGAAGTGGAGCTGAGGGACAGCACCCAGGCGCAGAGTTCAGGCCCCATGACTGACAAAAAACAAAAAAAAAAGAAAAAGGCTTATGGAGCAATATAATGATTGATGAGGCTGGAAAGACAGGGTATGAATGTACTTGGTCATGTGGGTAGTCAAGGTCCAGATAAGACTTTTTTTTTGTGAGTCCTGGGACTTGAACTCAGGACCTGGGCACTGTCCCTGAGCTTCTTTTGTTCAAGGTTAACACTCTACTACTTGAGTCACAGTGCCACTTCTGTTTTTTTCTGTTTATGTGGTACTGAGGAATTGAACCCAGGGCTTCATGCATGCTAAGCCAGCACATTAAGCCACATTCCCAGTCCCCAGAGAAGACTTTTAAGAAAGGATACATCATGATCAGATACATGCATTGGAAAGAGCCCTCTGCTCAGTGAGGAGATAGATCTTCAGATATAAGAGGGTACCAAAGAAGTGGGTGAGGTTTTTTTGTTAAGACGGCTTAGGGGCTAGCATATGTGACAGCCAGTGGGTGCAAGTATATCTATGACTGTCCCTGAGCTGAATTAATTGGCAGTATCTAGCGATAGGTATTGCTAGATCTGTGGAAAGAAGACTGTTTCTTTAATTTTTCAATCGTCTTCTTCTGACACAGGAGGGTGTGTATATTAGTCTGAGCTGTTACAACAAAAATACCATAGAGGGGCTGGGAAGGTGGCTCAGTGGTAGAGTGCTTGCCTTGCATGCATGAGGCCCTGGGATCAATTCCTTATCACCACATAAGCAGAAAAAGCCGCAAGTGATGCTGTGGCTTAAGTGGTAGAGCGCTAGCCTTGAACTGAAGACCTGTGGGACAGCACCCAGGCCCAGAGTTCAGGCCGCACCAATACCATAGATTGTGTTAATACATGACCAACATTTATTTCTCACAGTTCTAGAGGCTGAGAAGTCTGAGCTCAGGTTGCCAGCAGAACCAGTGTTTGAGGACAACTGCCTTCTTGTGTTATTACATCGTCTGGAAAGAGATACAGAGAGTGGGGGAGGGAGGGAGGGAGAGGATAGAGTTTTAGTCTCTTTATCTTCTTGGAAGGATGCTAATAGCATTTATTAGTGGCTCTATCCTCATGACATAATCACCTCTGAAAGGTCCTATCTTCAAATGCAATCATATTGGGATTTAGGTTTCAACATGTGCATATTTGGTCAGGGAGACATGACTTTCAGCCCATAGCGGCATGATTAACACATTTATCCCCGTCTCTTCTTAGGGCTACTCAGATCAAGACCTACTCCTGGGACAATGCTCAGGTTATTCTGGTGGGGAACAAGTGTGACATGGAAGAGGAGAGGGTTGTCCCCACTGAGAAGGGCCGACTTCTTGCAGAGCAGCTGGGTATGTGAATAACACATGCGTACATGTGCTCATGGAAGTGGAATGAGTGGGTATTTTTGTATTTGTGACATTATATGTATTGTGATTGTGTATAATTTACTCATGTGCTCAATGTGTATTGTTTTTGTTTTGTATGATGTATCTATAGTCTTATGCTTGTGACTTTAGGCACTTCATTTATGATAATTATATATTTTGTTATATTGAATATATACATAAATGTTAAATTTATGAACACTATTTTTTCTATCACTTCCTTCTACAAGGTAGGAGGTATCTTATTTAAAAACAACCATAGTATAGAGGATCAGGTGTGGTGGCACATACCTATAAGTCCAACTATTTGGTAGGCAGAGGGAGTAGAAGGATTATAGTTTTAGTCTGGCTCTGGAAAGAAGTACAAGTCTCCATTTGAAAACTAAGTTAGGGGGATGGGAATGTGGCTTAGTCGTAGAGTGCTTGCCTTGCATGCCTGAAGCACTGGGTTTGATTCCTCAGTACCACATAAACAGAAAAAGCCAGCTGTGGTGCTGTGGCTCAAGTGGTAGAGTGCTAGCTTTGAGCAAAAGAAGCTCAGGGACAAGTGCCTAAGCTCTGAATTCAAGCCCCAGGACTGGCAAACAACAAACCAACAAACAAACAACTAAACTAAAGTAAAAAGGATTAAGGGTATGGATAAAGTAGTAGAACAGTTGCCAAGCAAACATGGGCCCTAAGTTTAAACCCCAGTACTGCCAAAAAGTAAGTAAATTTAAAACATTATCATAGAATAGCAATTAAAAAATGGGAAAATTTTAGCAAAAGAAAAGCAAATGTGGAAGAAAAATATGGGGAAACTAGAGTGAGGTAAGTATATATGTCATAAGGTAGACACTTGCAACGATCAGACTAAAATATCATCTTTGAGCTTGTGTGTGTGTGTGTGTGTGTGTGTGTGTGTGTGTGTGTGTGTGTGTGTTCTGAGGCTTGAACTCTGGGCCTGGCTATTGTCCCTGAGCTTTTTTGCTCAAGTAGCACTCTACCACTTGAGCCACAGCTTTATGTCTGGTTTTTTGGTGGTTAATTGGAGATAAGTCTCAGGAACTTTCCTGCCAGGGTTGGCTTCTAATCAATATCCTCAAATCTCAGCCTTCTGAGTAGTAAGGATTACAGGCATAAGCCACCAGCACCTGATTGAAGTAAGATTAATTCTTATTTCAGGGATTAAGGAGTCACTTTAATAAGACCTTAATGAATTGGTCAGAGTTGGGTAGCATATCTTGTCCTATACAACTTCCTGAACTTTCCTCTATTGCTTATCAGAACCTATTTGCACAATTATCTCTCTTTGTAGCCCCTGAGAACAGAGAATATGTCTGAGCTGTTTCATCTCAAGCATTCAGCACTGGGCAGATAGTCATTAATACATTTTACATATTCATTGCAAAATATTTATTGCACACATACTCTGAGATAGGGTCTGGTTTTTTTTTTTTTTTTGGGTCCGGTCGTGGGGCCTGAACTCTGGGCCTGGGCGCTGTCCCTCAGCTCTTCAGCTCAAGGCTAGTGCTCTACCACTTGAGCCACAGCACCACTTCTGGCTTTTTTCTTTTTGCTTATGTGGTGCTGAGGAATCAAACCCAGGGCTTCAGGCATGCAAGGCAAGCACTCTACCACTGAGCCACCTTCCCAGCCCATAGGGTCTGTTTTAGTACTTAGGATGTAATTAAAGGTGAGCAGACATCCTAATGTCATGGAACTAATAAAGGAGACATTAAACAAAAATATAAATAAAAATTGTCTAAATAGGTGAATAATAAGGTATGTGAATTATATTTCAATAGAGCTGTTAATTGGAATATATTCTGTTCAGGATTTGTTATTACAAAAGCTGAGTGCCAGTGGCTCATGCCTGTAATCCTAGCTACTCAGGAGGCTGAGATCTGAGGATCATGGTTCAAAGCCAGCCTGGTCAGGAAAGTCCATGAGACTCTTATCTCCAATAAACCACTAGATTAATTTTTCTGTTTTGTCGGTCATGGGGCTTGAACTCTGGGCTTGGGCGCTGTCTTTGCGTTCTTCAGCTCAAGGCGAGCAATCTACCACTTGAGCCACTACTTCCTCTAATAAACCACTAGAAAAGTGGAAGTGGAAGTGGCGCTGTGGCGCAAGTGGTAGAGCGCTCACCTTGAGCTGAAGAGCTGAGGGATAGTACCCAAGCCCAGAGTTCAAGCCCCACGACTGACAAAAACAAAAAAACAAAAACAAGATTTGTTATTATGATAAAGTACTAAATCAAACTAGCTTTTCTTTCTCTCTCTTTCTTTCTCTCCTTTCTTTCTTTCTTTTTCTTTCTTTCTCCCTCCCTCCCTCCCTCCCTCCCTGCCTCCCTCTCTTCCTCTTTCTCTCTCTCTCTCTTTCTTTTCTTTCTTTCTTTTTTCTTTCTTTTGTTATGGGGCTTGAACTCTGGGCCTAGGTGCTGTCCCTTAGCTCTTCAGCTCAAGGTGAGCACCTCTACCACTTAAGCCACAGTGCCACTTCTAGTTTTCTGGAGATCTCACAGACTTTCCTGCCAGGGCCAGCTTCAAATTATGATCCTCAGATCTCAGCCTTCTGAGTAGCTAAGATTACAGGTGTGAGCCACCTGTGCCTGGCCAAACTAGCTTTTCTTTAAAAATAGCATTTATTAAATCATGTAACTGGAAAGGTCACTAGTCCTAGGACTCAATTGCAATGTACATTTATGATGTTGTATGGTATTAACACAATATGCTGCATAACAATTCTCTTTGCCTTTCACTTGTTCTCCTAACCTGTGAGAGTAGCCCAGCCTCTGTAACACCATTATCATCAGTGCAGTAAATCAGTGCTTCTACTGATGAAGCTGAGTCCAGGCTACCCATGAGCTGTGGCAGATCTTGTGTCTATTTTTGCGCTTTAAGATTTAACTTTTCTCAAGCCATTTAAGTAATAGGTGGCAAGCTCAGGTTTGCATTCAGAATCTTAATGCTCTCATTATATCATCAAGTAATGTTTTCCCCCAAGAGCCTACCATAGTTTTTCCTCAAATTCTCACCCTTAGTGATATTGGTGAGAATACTCTTGATTATGTTGAATGCTTAATCCGAATGAGCTTACACCTTAAAGGTCTATTTCTTGTTCACATTTGTAAGCCACTTCTAAGTCTTGTGACTTTTTTTTTTTTGTCGGTCCTGAGGCTTGAACTCTGGGCATGGGTGCTGTCCCTCAGCTCTTCAGCTCAAGGCTAGAGCTCTAGCCACAGGGCCACTTCCGGTTTCCTGAGTGGTTTCCTGAGTGGTTTATTGGAGATAAGAGTATCATAGACTTTCCTGACCGGGCTGGCTTTGAACTGTGATCCTCAGATCTCAGCCTCCTGAGTAGCTAGGATTACAGGCATGAGCCACCAGTGCCCAGCTCTTGTGACTTTTTACTCTGGGAACCAGAATAAAAATGTGTTGGCCAGGTGCCAGTGGCTCATGCCTGTAATCCTAGCTACTGAGGAGGCTGATATCTGAAGATCACAGTTCAAAGCCAGCCCAGGCAGGAACGTCCATGAGACTTTTTTTTTTTTTGGGGTCCGGTCGTGGGGCCTGAACTCTGGGCCTGGGCACTGTCCCTCAGCTCTTCAGCTCAAGGCAAGCACTCTACCACTGAGCCACCTTCCCAGCCCCATCCATGAGACTCTTATCTCCAGTTAACCCCCAGAAAACCAAAGTGGCACTGTGGCTCAAGTGGTAGAGCACTAGCCTTGAACTGAAGAGCTGAGGGACAGGGCCCAGGCCCAGAGTTCTGGCCCCATGACCGACCCCCATCCCCCCCCCCCCAAAAAAAAGAGAAGTGTGTTGAAGTATAGTTTTAAAGCTTTCATTGGGATTGTATAGCTTTACTTTTAACCAAAGCAAGTCACATAACCTGATGTTAATAGAGTGAGAGATCTAGTTGCTCCTCTCACAGGAGGCACTGCAAGCCAGTTAGCACTAGGTGGCGATGTAAAAATCCCAATATGTCATCATCATCAAACATTTGAAGGGCCCTGGGGACATTGAGGTGAACAAATTCTTAGCCCTTAAAAATTCTCTTTGAAGCTGGGAGATGGTGGCTTATGCCTGTAATCCTAGCTACTCAGGAGGATGAGATCTAAGGATCTCTCCTCAAAGCCAGCCTGGGCAGGAAAGTGTGTGGGACTCTTGTCTCCAGTAAATTACTTTGAAAAAGCCAGAATAGGCACTGTGGTGCAAGTGGTAGAGTGCTAGCCTTGAGCACAGAGAGACTCAGGGACAGAGGCCAGGCCCTGAGTTCAAGCCCTGGGACCAGCAAAAGAAAAAAAAAAAGAATTCTTTTCTACCAAGGAAATAAAATTATAAGGAAAAAACTACATTCTTTAGTAGATGGCTATATCAGTCCTTAGCCTTCTACATATGTCTCATTCATTCCTTTCTTTGGGGAGGTGGGGTGGGTTGGTCATGGGGCCTGAACTCTGGGCCTGGGCGCTATCCCTGAGCTCTTCAGCTCAAGGGTAGAGCTCTACCACTTGAGTCGCAGTGGCACTTCTGGCTTTTTCTGCTTATGTGGTGCTGAGGAATTGAACCCAGGGACTCATGCATGCAAGGCAAACATTCTACCATTAAGCCACCTTCCCAGCCCCAGTTTCATTCATTCTTGATCCTTCTGCAAATCTCCCCTTTTCCTTCCTACCTCAAAGAAGGGATTGACTTTTGCATATGGGTTTCCAGAGTCTTGTAACTATGGTTTCTGTTTTAGCTTAACCAAGAGGCAAGTGTTGAAGATGAAGGAAAGGGAGAATCCTGGACATACTCCTCCCCACATTTTGGATGACGATTTCAGTGAGGGCTACTCTTCTTCTTCCTCTCCTCCTCCTCCTCCTCCTCCTCCTCCTCCTACTTCTTCTCCTCTTCCTCCTTCTCCTCCTCCTCCTCCTCCTCCTTCTTTTTTGGTGGGTCGTTGGGCTTGAAATCTGGGCTTAGGTGCTGTCCCTGCGC